GCTGACAATGCCCTGGCCTGGGGTGCTCTCCCCTGGGAGCACCAGTGCATCGCCCGTGCCACCCCTCGAGCACCCGGGTTCGCAGCTGGCTCCTCCTGGTGCATCCAAGGCGCTCTCCCCGGCAAGCTCGGCTGTGCCTCCCCACTTCTCCTCCTCCTCCTCTGGCACCTCAGCGGCACAGCTCTTGCTCTGCTCCACCAGGAGAGACCCCTCATACTTCCTCTCCTCCTCTTGGGCTTTCGGACCCACAACCTCCCTTGCCAGCCCGGGAACACTGTCCTGGTTGCTTGGCCCTGCCAGCTGCAGGACACCCTCTTCTGGGCAGAGGGAGAGGTTCCCGGCTGGATATGGGATGATGTCCCCCAAATGCTCCGACACACTGCTCGGCCCTGTCCGACACGCCAGCAGTGGGCTAGCGGGGGGTGCTGGGTTAGCGGCATCTCCCCCAGGCTCAGGGGTAGCCTCTGTGGCTCCAGGCTGGGCACTCGCTGGGGATGGAGCGTCTGCCTTGGTCCTCATCACCTGGCTGCCACGGCTGAGCTCCCCGAGTCCTTCATCATGGGATGCTTTGTGCTGCCCGTCACAGGGCTGGGCACCAGCCGGATCCGGGCACGGCTCCTGCACGCTGGGTGAGGCCCCCGAGCCCTCCAGCATGGCGGGGCAGCTGCCTCCCAGATTCCGGCGGTGCCCGGCAGAGGCTGCCCGCGGCTCCTTCGGACGAGTATCCCCCTTGCTTTCCCTCCTCACTGCTCTGCCCACCTGTGTCCTGGCACGGGGGCTTTGCCTCTGCCCCTCGCCGCTGCTCCGGCAAGTGTCCTGCGCCAGACGGTGGTTCTCGGGCTCCCGGTGGTGCCCGGCCAGCTTGTCACCCACCGCTTGCGCCGCTCTCTCCCGCCGCGCTTTGGGCACGTAGAGGGCCATGTCGGGCTTCCTGCGGCGCGGCCGGCCGCCCTCTGCCTCCTGCTGCATGCTGCCAACACTGCCTGCCAAGGAGAGACAGCGTCACTGCCCTGCCCGTGTCCCAACGGCGCCGCAGCCGGGCAAGCGGTGGGCAGCCCCTACCCGGGGCGGTGGGTCGGGGTCCCAGCCCGGCACCCACCCTCTCTCCCATGCCGCCGGCAGCCACGGCGATGGATAGAGGAGCCCCAACAGAGGTAGCAGCTCTGCAGATGGGGTTTGGCGCCCGGAGCACCCCACAGCCCTACAGCCTTCAGTGGGGTGTACGGGGCTTGGGGGAAGCAGGAAAACCCTGCCAGCATCACCCAAGCGCCTGCCCCACTTTGGTGGCTGCTGCCTGGGGATGCCCAGCCTCAGGTGCCAGCAGCTATGGCCAAAGCAGGACACAGAGCCCGTGCACCATCCACGCATCAAAAACCGTGGAGAAGCCCACAGCAGCCGCAGAGCACCAAAAACCAAATCCCAGCCCGGGGACACCCCGGTGCGGGACCACGGCTGCCACCCCAGCACACCGCAGCCCCGCTCACCTGCTGCCCCGTCCCGGCGGAGATTTATTTTTCATCATCTTTGGCAGCAGCAGGCACGCCGCGAGCTGCCAGGCCCCCCTGCCCCTATAAATATGCATCAGGCAGGGTTTATGGAGACGGATGGCGTGGGGGGCTGCGCTGCGGTCGAGGGGAAGGCAGAGCGGGGCCGGGCCGGGGCCCCATGATTAATCACTGCCCACTCCGTTTAGGGGGATTCATCACGGGCCGCTGTCAGGTAAATCACTGGAAAAACACCTCTTCAGTAATTAATGTGAAGTGACGGATGGACAGCCCCCGGGCCCATTAATCTGGACCATCAGCGCCGACCGAGATTATGAATGTCAGGATGCATAAACTGCCGGCGGATCAATAGGGCCAGGAACCCATCCAAGGCTCTCATTTCCGAGGCACCTCCGGTACATTAGCCTCCCTTCCACGCAGCCACCGACCGAGGCGCGAACGGTCCCCGTGTGGCCCCTCGCCGACAGCCGGCAGCGGTGCCGGGAAGGCGAGGGGAAGCCAACCGCCGGCTGGAAAGCGGCGCGGGGT